TTTAGTTATAAATATTGCATCTCAATTGATAACATAAAGACAGTAGAAGGTTTCAGGATATTGTTGTAAATTGTATATTTTGATTGCACATTTAGTTTATACGAAATGCATAGTTAGTTCAAGCGAAGTGTATATTTAATTCATAAACAATGCATAAGTAATTGATATTATTGTGGAGCATTTTAATCATTAAAAATACATATTCAGTTCATACCAAGTGCATATTTAGTTTATATCAACTGAATATTTCAAGTACAAATTTACCTCATACACAATGCATATATGGTTCATAAAAAAAATGCATATTTAGCATACAAATTTACTTCATATAGACTGCATATTTCGCATACATATTTAGTTTAACCCCGTAAATATATATTTTTATTATAATTAATTTAATATAATATTTTTAATTTTTTATCGTATATTATGATAATACGTAATATATATATACATATATATAAAGGTTTGATTATTTTTTAAATAGTAACTATTTCCCTCTAAAAAAATCTATTTACTATTTTGGGAAATTAATTTAACAATTTATGGTATATATCAAATGATCACTTATGGAAATTGCGGCTCATTATTTAAGGAAGTAATTAAGCTATATTTTAAGATATCTTAATTACTTAAATCATATGAATTGATTAATATATGGTATAAAGTGGATGAATTTATATTTGGTATTGATTTTTGTTTCTATAGGGAATAAATTAATCAATATATGGTATAAAGTGAGCAAATTTATTTAGGTTATTTGATCACTGTTTTTTGGTAGGAAATTTGTTGATGGAAACTTAATCACTCCGATTAAATATTAGGACCTGATATTTTGATATATAGTACGTGTGTAGATGTTTTTTTTATATATAATGCTTTGGTCATTTTTTTTTGTATAATTAATGGATCTCGATTTAATTAATTTTCTGTTACGACATTCAAATAATTTTTGTGTGAAATGCATTGTTCTTATTTTTAGCATGATAAGGAGTGTCGGTTTTTTTGACATATTAAATCTTATGATTGATTGTTTTTACTCATCTACTTAAATATTTCGATTTGGATATTCTTGTATAAAAATAAATTCATTTTAATTAATGAAACAATATAAGTTTTATATTTATACTTATTTATACACATAGGTTTTAAATATATGATAAAATTTTACCACAATAATTATTTTATGGAATCACGTTATAGTCAAATTGAATTTCTGAATAAAAATTTTGAGCTAACACATATTATGAAACGAATATAACGTAATTTATTACCAGTTATGTGCAATGCGCGGGTTGTGTACTAACTTTAAATAGATATTTTTATTTAATTTTGCACAAATTTATATTTTATATAATATTTTCAATAAATTAATATAGGTACGTTGTATTAAATATTGACTCCATGTTTTAACTTATAAATATTATTTATTGATAATTAATTATTAATTTATTGAGAATTTTAATTTATAAATATTAATGAATATCTCTTACCCGTGCATCGCACGAGATTCGTACTAGTGCATACTTATGCCATTCGTTAAGCATGTTTAGCTCATACAAAATGCTTCTGGCGGTGAAGAAATTGAATCTGCTGCAATAGTCGAAAATGCATATTTAGTTAATCATAGTGCATATTTAGTTCACGTGACGTCCAATCATAGTCATTTATTTGTGTGGATCATTGACTTATATTAATCAATTGAAATACTTTTGAATTATATTAATCAATTAAAATTTAAATTTTATAAAATGCAAAATTAGTTCATATTGTCACAACAAATTTACTCATTTAGTTCCGAAAAAATGCACATTTAGTTCATACGTAGTGCATGTTTAGTTCACAAATAATGCATACTTAATTGATATTATTAGTGCACGTGTAGTTCATAAACATTGTATAATATTCAATTCATACCAAATGCTTAGTTAGTTCATATCAACTGCATACTGCGAGTGCACATTTTTTTCATACATAATGCATACTACGGTCTATGGGCATAGATAGAAAAAATAATCACCATGGGCTGACCAACTTCAAGGAAAAATAAAATAAAAAAATAAATCGAAAAAGTTTAACATACGGTTAAAATACTTATCTTGTTTTGTTTTATTCTATTTTCTAATTATTATGAGCCAATAAAATACAATCATAGCTAGTTATTCATAATTACGTTATCTAAAAAAATACAATCAACCAATATGAATGAGACGAAGGTAGCTCGACTAGTAGCAGGCATAACTGAAATGTTGTACGCGTATCTACATGACCTAAATTATCACATGAAAGATACGCAATTTACAGACTTAGAAGCCTTTGCACAATTTGCACAAGTATTTCGTCGCCAACATTGTATTGAGTCGCCTCGTGACCATTTTTTGTTGGTGACCCAATTGAGTTGGACGACACATCACCAATTAACTAACGTTTAACGACTTCATATACACGATTTGTGGACTCTCTGAAGCACGACATCAGTTGTAAACCACATAGATAAGATGGATAAAATACCTACGATAAGAAAACTCAACGGGTAGCAAAAACACACCACAATTCTCTCTCAAGGTTTGATGGTTATTCTGCAATGGCGCTGTGCAATCAAGTCCTTCCATCTCCCTCACCATCAAATTCCCTCACAAGTTTCGCATCGTTGAAGCCATTGAATCCGCTTCTCGTTCTTTCCCGTTCTTTGAGACGAAAAAGCGAATCTTTACGCCAGAAAAGTGGTAGGCTGAGAGTGGAAGCCACTGTGACTCTTGATTCGAGCAATGGAGCTGTGGGCGTGGCGCCATCGAAGGAGGACGAAATTTCTTCCACCACTCCTTATGGAAGGCAGTTCTTCCCTTTAGCTGCTGTTGTTGGCCAGGTTTCAGCCCTCTTTTCCATTTTGTGTGTGTGAAATGTGTGTGCGTGTGTGTGTGTTTTAAGTGAATATGGTGGTCTCTGGTTCGTGAATGGGTTGGGGTGTAGCTTCACAGCGGTCCGCCGAGCCCAGTCTAGTTTAGGAGATGTATGCGTTTGTTACTGTGTGAGCACGCTCGCGCTAATATTTATGGTGGGTCTTGGTCTTGGATTGTATGTTGGAACAGAGGGGTTAGTTTATGATGGTGTCTGGCAAGTATACGATTAAACTAGTTTGGCCTTTTAAATGTTAATGTTAACTGGTGATTGTTTCTGTATACTCTGAGAATTGAAGTGTGCCTTGTTAAGTGACTAGTGCAAACAGTGAGCTGATATTGTTTTTAAGTGACTAGTGCCAACAGTGAGCTGGTAGTGTTTGATCCTTCTAGCTTTCAGAGAAAATAATGAATTAGGTGATGAGAAGTATTGAAGAGACTTTTTATTTTTATTTCTATTTTTTAACACAGAATGGAACATTTTTTAAACATGATAACTTAGGCGTCACCATTGTGTAAAGACCAACATTTTCCGCTTGAGATTTACTTTGGATATTACTGGTTTATTTTACATCAGCCTTTTGGATACCTGCTGTTTCAGATTTGTTTACGAAAGGAATGTTTTTTGTCATACAGGATGCTATTAAAACTGCTCTTTTACTTGGGGCAATAGACCGTGAGATTGGAGGAATAGCAATCTCTGGAAAACGAGGAACAGCAAAAACAGTGATGGCTCGTGGCTTGCATGCAATTCTCCCGCCTATTGAAGTAGTTGCCGGATCAATTGCAAACGCCGACCCGTCAAACCCCGAAGAGTAAGGTCCACCAAATTTTTTATATTTGAATGTATTTATGTAGAAAATAAATATATGGCTTATTGGATTCATATTTGATATTAGTGTAGAAGGTATTGCTAAAGTGCACTTTCCTTTTCCATTAACTTGGTTTGTGATGCTGCAAACTTATGAGGTTTACTTAATTTAATCATTAACATGCTTTATCAAGTTCATCTAAATCCTCTTGAAAAATCATCGTATTTGTTGGTATTGCAATAAGGACGGATATCTGCCACCTATTAGGAGGCGCAATGCAAATCATAAGCAAGCATGTGTGACCAAATAGTTGCACAAATTGCAGAAGTGCTACTCTTTTCATATCTTTGTGAGGAGTAACCAAAGGAAATGGGAAATTCTGTCTGTGTTCTCTGTTTATTACATTATTTGATTTGATGTTTACCACTCTTGAAGGTGGGAAGATGGTCTTGCCAGTCGAGTGGAGTATGACTCTGATGGGAATATTAAAACCCAAATAGTCAAGTCACCATTTGTTCAGGTAATCACTGAGGAAAAAAATATTTATTGTTAGAAATTCACTTTTTTTATGTCTTATGCTTCCCCATTTATCAGATTCCACTTGGTGTCACGGAGGATAGACTAATTGGGTCTGTTGATGTTGAGGAGTCCATAAAATCCGGAACCACCGTTTTTCAGCCAGGCCTTCTTGCGGAGGCTCACAGAGGGGTTTTGTATGTTGATGAAATTAATCTTTTGGATGAAGGCATTAGCAATTTGCTTCTCAATGTCTTGACTGAAGGCGTTAATATTGTGGAGAGAGAAGGCATAAGCTTTCGACACCCGTGCAAACCGCTTCTTATTGCTACTTATAATCCTGAAGAGGGTGCCGTCCGGGAACATCTTCTGGACCGCATTGCAATAAATTTGAGGTAAGAGTGGTTGTCAACTTTTGGAGAAAGAAACAGCAGGAGCTGAATAAGCCTGATACGTGTTCTGTTTTCAACTGTATAATATCCAATCTAGGCCGATTTCCTTCACGAAATTGTTGTTTTTCTGAATTTATTTTAGGTATACATTTGTTGTCCGACCAGAATATTTTTAATTTATTATTTATTTATTTTTGAATATATTTGAGCATTCTAAGTATTGCTATTTTTATTCTTTAGCGACACCGTTCTTATGCAGTGCAGATCTTCCTATGAGTTTTGAGGATCGTGTTGCAGCGGTTGAGATTGCAACTCAGTTTCAAGAACAAAGTAGAGAAGTTGTTAAAATGGTTGAGGAGGAGATGGATGTTGCAAAGACTCAGGTAGTGGTGGTTATAGAATAATGTTCTTTATTCCAAATCTATTTCCAGAAGTGAAGATAGAAGAGGCTACTGTGATTTAAAGTAATGATTTAATAGATTGATGGAGATAGTGTGAAAGTATGTTCATGACCTTAAGAAACAGTATTTTAACTTTCAGATCCAAGTAGATTCAATTTTATGTGATGGTTTGTTTTAGGCAACATGTGTAATAATGAATTAAACTAGATTCAATGTCTTGTGCAGCTATGACTATATACCATGTTTCTCATGTCATCTGTATGCTCCAAATTCCAAATATGAGTTAGGCTCGAGCTGCATTGGATACTTGCAATTTTGTTTTGACTGTTATATTCATCATTTTTGACAAATGGCAAATGCAGCATCATTTTTTTATGTTTGGAGGTAACTTCAGCTTGCTGACTTGATTGACTGATGGTTTTCCATTCAAATGATCATGTTGTTTCTTGTTTAACTATATTCTGGTGCAGATAATTTTAGCTAGGGAGTATTTGAAGGATGTGAGTATCAGCAAAGAGCAACTGAAGTACATAGTTATGGAAGCCCTCCGAGGTGGTTGCCAGGTTCTCAAATATGACATTCATCCTAATATTTATCTGTAAAGCTCCATTGTGCACGAGGATTTACACCTAACACAATCACATGATTTGATAGTTCCAATAATTTTATACCTCTCTCTCACTTCCCTCCCCCCCGGGATTCTAGCACCAACATAATATTTGAGCTATTTGCTTATGTTAAAATATGGACTTAATTAACATGGCACAAACGGTACTCTTCCCTTTATGCAAAATGTGTATGATGTGATCCATATTGTATTGATTTTATTCCTATGATCCTATGAACTGAATGTTGTGATGCTGTAAGCATTTAATACAACGTAAATCTCAAGAACATGGTCTCCCCCAACATATTCTGGTATATATTGAACATATACATTAACTTTCAGGGGCACAGAGCTGAATTATATGCTGCAAGGGTTTCCAGATGTTTAGCTGCTCTTGAAGGTCGTGACAAAGTCAATGTGGATGACCTGAAGAAAGCTGTTAAGTACCTATCTTTATTCTGATTCATCCTTCACATTAGAATCCCATTAGAACTTCTTTGATGCATTTCAATGTAATGTAGGTTTATCTTCCTACAAATGACCGATGACCATAAATATACTATTTTATGACATGTCACTGAAATGGAGTATTTATGATCAAAATCAATGAATTATGCAGTGAAACTAATTATCTGGAGTGGTAACATAATTAAATGATTTATTGCAGCCACAGCTTAGGAAAGAGCAAATTAAATTCGCAAACTTGAAATTTTAGCCTTAGCAAAATTATATTCCAATATAATACAAATAACCCCAACTTCCAGTCTAGTGATTTCTAATTATCTAGGTAAACTAACAGCTTTAAATGTAATTTTTCAAGACTGGTTGTTTGGATTACTTGAACCATTTCAAAAGTTTGAAGGATGTAAACCATATGAAAGTTTATTGAGATCAGCTAGTTATGTTAGCTCAGCTAAATGTAGGTGCAAAATGTCAGTTGAGTTTAACATAACAACTGGGGTGGTTTTCACTTTTCCAAAGTTCGGTTGTTTTCCTATTTCATTTTCTTTATTCTCTGTGGTCGTCTTTTCTTTTCTGTTTACTTTCTTGGATAATTTGGCAAACCTCTAGGGTAGTTCTTTGACTGCCCCTTATTACTACTAATACAGGTGGAATTAGTCATTCTTCCACGGTCAATCATTAGCGAAAGACCACCCGACCAGCAAAACCAGCAGCCTCCTCCACCTCCGCCTCCGCAAAATCAAGATTCTTCAGAAGAACAAAATGACGAGGAAGATCAAGAGGTTTCACACTAGTGCCCAATATACCTCCCCGACCAAAATAAATAAATGAAATAGAACACTGCTTACTGCAGACATGACCTCCATTTGTGATAACAGGATGAGAATGACGAGGAAAACGAACAAGAGCAGGAACAAATACCCGAAGAGTTCATATTTGATGCAGAAGGCGGTCTCATGGATGAGAAGCTCCTCTTCTTTGCACAACAGGAACAACGCCGGCGTGGGAAAGCTGGGAGGGCCAAGAATGTGATATTTTCCGAGGATAGAGGACGCTATATCAAGCCTATGCTTCCCAAGGTTGGATTCCTTCTGGGTTTCTATCTTCTCTCAGCTTACTCATGCTGGTTTTGCACTTTCGGTGTCTGAAGAATGGTGGAAAGCTACGGATATTTAATCACCTGAACAGAAATTGTCCACTAGCGTTCCTTTCTTATTTCACGAGATAGTTACGAAACTTATCCCTGAGATTTGGAGAAAGTTCAAAAAGGACCCACAAGAGTTTCAATGTTTCTTTCTTTTTTTTTTAGAAACCCGTAAAATTTAATTGTTGCTTGAATTTGAGGGGTTATGCAGACATACATACCTCATGGCATCTTTTGTACTTTTGAAACTTTTCTTTGTCTGTTTTTTTTTAATAAACCAAATTGTGGGGTGGTTTTGAAATGTTTTTTGTTGCTTGTGAAGGGGTGGTTTCTGTGTTATACTATATCAACTTCTCATGCTATGCTCATTATATCACAAGCAGGGTCCTGTAAAGAGGTTGGCCGTTGACGCTACCCTTAGAGCAGCCGCACCATATCAGAAGTTGCGCCGAGATAAAGATACTCAAAAGACCAGAAAAGTCTTTGTGGAAAAGACGGACATGCGAGCTAAAAGAATGGCTCGAAAAGCAGGAGCCCTGGTAGGAATTGTTATCAAATATTTAAAT